TCATCTTAATTCTTCAATTATTAAGTATTTTCAAAGAGACACAATGGTTAGCCGAACCATTATGTTTCTATTCGGCCATGTCTCTTTAAAAACTATAAATAGGCTAGTCTTAATCATTTGTAAACACACCTTTCTTATTAATTAAAGTGAGATTATTATCTTTTCTCAAATCCTTGTGACTTTTATCGACTTACATAGTAAGGTCTTACTTGTGGCATCAACCTCTATTCCATTTATACTTATGGTTCTTATCTCTTTATAGATAGTGGGTCCAAGTCCTTTTCTACCATCCCTTAGAGAGATTTGTAAGGCTTGGTCTTTGTTCATTGTAGCATTGGTTCTTCCTTGGTCTTTCTAAGATATTATCTTCACTAACCATCATTTCTTTCATAAGCCATATCATAGCCATATCAACCTACTTCCGCTACCAATCTCATAACATAAATAGCCCTCCATTTCACCTTTACATCAACTACCAAGCCATCTATTTGAGCCATTCACTTATGCAGATTGTTTTGCTTCCTTCCTAGATTCACAATCAATTCAAGGTACAAGTGCTTTACATTAAGCGGTATTCAGAGCTTTGGTGGAATAAACAAAGTGGAACAACAACAACAAAATAGAAAAATAAGTGCAAGTTTAGTGCAAGTTTAGTGCAAGTGAAGAAACTAATAGATCAACAAAGAAATTGCAAAGCACTCAAAGAAGAAAACAAAAGAAAAAGAAAAGAAAATTATAAAGAAAAGTTGAAAGCACAACAACAAGTCTCATGAGCAAGAAATTCAAGTAAGCATCTCAAATTGATTATGGTGATAGAGAGGTTGTGAAGTGACTTTGTGTAAGTAACCCTTTTATTCTTTTCTTTCTTATTTCTAAGCCACCCTTTGCATTATATTTTGCTTTTCTATACCTACTAACAATTTGCAGCCGACTCACAACAAGTAAGCATTACTTGGTATAGTTTTGAGTAAAGTTACTTAGAACTCGAGACAAATAGATTGAGAGGAAAAAGGATTGAGCATGGGAGACTAGAAGAGGACTAGTAAAAGCCTTGAAGTCCTAGAGTGCAAACACGAGCGGATTGAGTGACACTCAAGTTTCCTTGGAGTGAACTCGTGAGGCTTTGTGAGAGCATTATTTGGTAAGGTCCTTTACACATTTCTTTTTCTTAATTTTTCTAACATGTCTCTTCCATCCAATATATTTGTAGTTAAAAGAACTTTGAACATTCAAAGTCAAGAAGATGAATAAAGAGAGAATATCTTCCATACAAAATGTCATGTGGAAGATAAAGTCTGTGTAGTGATCATTGATGGAGGAAGTTGTTCAAATGTAGCAAGCACTCATATGGTGGAGAAGTTGAGCCTAAAGACTTCCAAACATCCTCATCCTTACAAACTACAGTGGCTCAATGATGTGGGTGAAGCCAAGGTAACCAAAGAAGTCATTGTTCATTTGTCCATTGGAAGATACAAGGATGAAGTTCTTTATGATGTGGTGCCCATGAGTGCAAGCCACATTATATTAGGACGATTTTGACAATTTGACAAGAAGGCTACTCATGATGGATTTTCCAATGAGTATTCTTTCCAACATCAATGAAGGAGAATCACGTTGGCACCTATGCTTCTAAGTCAAATCCACGAATGTCAGGTGACTCTTAAAGCACGTATAGAAGAATGAGAGAAAATGAAGGCCATAAAAGAAGCTTTGAATATATGAGAAGAAACGATCAAATCAACAAGAATACCATTAAAGAAGAACGTTTTGAGGAGACAAGAACAATTGGAAATGAAACTGTTGGAGTTGAAAAGGAGGTTTTACAAGTAGTGGAGCAAATTGAAAATGACAAATCTGAACAGGATGAGTGTAGAGAAGAGAAGCATAGTGAAGGACAAATTTTACCTAATAAATCTTCTTATACTATTTCTTTTGCCTTGCAGTATATTCAAAGAGACGTAACTTTTCAAACTAAAGATTCAAGAAACATGTGTTTTGAAGAGCCAATAGTCATGACCTTTGGTGATCCACAAGACATGTCCTTTGACATTCCAAAAGATATACCTCTTGAAGTTCAAAAGAATGTGCCAATTGAAGATCCAAGAATTGTGAATTGTGACATTCCAAGTGATATGTCAATATTGGAGAAAAATCAGCAACCAATGGAGAATTCAATCATCAAGAAAACAATGCCCATTAAACATCTACCCTGGTTTGCTAATTCTATTCATTTTGTTATTAGTTTTTCATTTTCTAACTTTGATTTATTTTACAGTAACTTGATCCGTGTAAATGGTTTTATCCTATCAATCTATGATGGCAAGATCATTTGTTATTTTGAGTTTGATTGGTGCATCAAATTCAACCAATACAAGGGAGTGATGCAAGCATTGTCCACCTTGTTAAATGCCATTACCCGGGTGGACACAAAGCTTAAAGAAGTTGACCTTAACCACTTACCTGAAGGAGATCAAACGTCAAACTTATTCACCAACAATCATGATGATTCAAGAAGAGAAAGTGGTGAGATAAGATGCTTCGAGAGATACAATCCTTGGAGTATAAAATGCCATATTTGGAGGAAACTACAGCAACGTTGGAACAAAGGACACACATCTTTCCAAAAGGACAAGATGACTCAATGTAGTAGGAGAAAGGGTCTCAAAAGGTATGTTACTCGTCATTAGAAATTTTGATGCAGGAAATCATTGGTGAAGAGTTGTCTTCAAAAGAAATAATTCTAGAAGAATGTTATTCTAAAGAGGTACATGTTTGCAATAGTTATTCCAAATAAATTCCTTTATTTGAATACTTTTCTGAAAGGATATTTTTAAAAGATGATTATTCACAAAAGAGGATAACATAATTGGATTCATACCTTTTCAAAGAAGCGCAACTTGTCAAGAACAAATATACAATGAATAAAATTGATGGACGAATCAAAGAGGATGAGTCTGTTCATTATACAATTCACACCCCAACACAAGCCTTCGGTTTGAGGACAAATTACCTTCAAAAAGGGGGGATGATACATGCATGACCAAGCTTAAACTTCATTCATCCATGAAAACATCCATGAAAACAAAGGGAGTTTTCATTACCTTATTCTTTTATTATTCACATGTTGTTTGCCTTATGTATGACAAATATATTTATGATATAGCTTGTTATAATCATCCATTAATCATATATATACATGTTGTACTTAAAGATAAACATACTTTGATCATTCATATGAAATATCTATAACTTAATCATTATTGTTGATGCATAGTATTAATTTCACATCTTTACTTAGTTTATAATCATTTGCATATGTTTTGTTTTCATTAAAATTGATCTCATTATGTTCTTAATATGACAACATGCTTAATCATTCATTTGTTAGCTCATTTGCATTCATTTAAGCTCCTAAGTCTTATACATTATCTTACATTTGTTATATCATCATGTTCTTAGCTCATGACATGCATTCATAGCTCACAAGGTCATATACATGCACGACAGCAAGGTAATTGAATCATTCCAGCTCGTATCCTTTGATTTACCTTGTTTTCTTTGCACATGTAGGTAAATGGAAGCATGACACACATTTGGGCCACTTTTGGGAGTATTTGGAATTCATATATAGCTCATATTCAACTCACAAACTTCATGGTAGGTTATGGAACACAATGGGAAGCTCAACTCACCTGGAGGAGCACAAGGCTAGCTAAACTCAACTAGTTGGACTATTTGAAGACAAGTTGCTTAAAGTGTCAACATACGTTGCTGAACATAGCTAAAAGTGATGCTAAGGAGCTTGGGAGTTCACGGCTAAGAATATCCTTCACCACCAGCCCATGCAATGCTAGCTAGCTATACACTTGCAAGCTTGAAGTTAGCTCAACTCACGCCCAAGGTTGTTGCACATGATTGGTCCTTCATCACATGCCTAAGGCTACACCATAAGCCTCCTAGAGAACCATGTGCACGCCTTGTGACCAGCCAAGCCATGTGTTATGTGTGTGCCTCCTTTAGGCGCCAAAGTTGAGTGGTTACATAACCATTCGGCCAACTAACCTTACCCTTCAAATTGGCGCCAACTTGAAAGGACTCAAGCACTATTCGGCCATGAGACATGCCCCCTCCAACCAGTCGAATCATCACCTATGCATTCATCTTAATTCTTCAATTAATTATGTATTTTTAAAGAGACACAAGGGTTGGTCGAAACATTATGTTTCCATTCGGCCATGTCTCTTCAAAAACTATAAATAGGCTAGTCCTATTCATTTATAAACACGCCTTTCTTATTAATTAAAGTGATTATTCTATTTTCTCAAGTCCTTGTGACTTTTTTCGACTTATCAAGTAAGTTCTTACTTGTGGCGTCAACCTCTATTCCATTAATACTTGTGGTTCCTATCTCATTATAGATAGTGGGTCCAAGTCCTTTTCTACCATCACTTAGAGATATTTGTAAGGCTAGGTCTTTGCTCATTGTAGCACTGAGATACTATCTTCACCAACCATCATTTCTTTCATAAGCCATACCATAGCCATATCAACCTACTTCCGCTACCAATCTCATAACATAAATAGCCCTGCATTTCACCTTTACATCAACTACCAAGCCATCTATTTGAGCCATTCACTTATGCAGGTTGTTTTGCTTCCTTCTTAGATCCACAATCAATTCAAGGTACAAGTGCCTTACATCAGTTGATAATGCTCACCATGCAGCATAGAAAAAATTGGTAAAATAAGAATAATTTGCAAGTTTAATGATTGAATTGAAATATTTATAAAATTTAGTTGCTGAAATAAAAGTGAACAGATAATTGAGTGATCACGATTTAATTTACTCATAAAATTATCCCTAAAGATTCTATCAATGACACAAGGGTAGCCACAAATTAGGAGAAATATCTTAAAAGAATTGCAAATCCATGAGTACGCAGTTATTTTATTTACCTATATATTTTGGGTTCACTGACCCCAACTTTTTTCACTTTTATATTGGGGTTTTTCATCAGATCATCGTGTAATCAAAATCAAGCATGGGTGTGACTATCAAGCAGGCGGCCCTCATCGTCGGCGGCCTCGGTGTCTTATCTTTCATCTTCGGAGTCATTGCCGAGAACAAGAAGCCTGCGGCCGGAACCCCAATTCCCGGTAAAGATTCGGTTCTTTGTAAGTATCCGTCGGATCCCTCCGTCGCCCTCGGCTACCTATCGGTTTCATTCCTCATTTTATCTTCTTTCGCCGGCTATTGGTCTCTGTTCTACCCTTACAAGGGAAAATCTGTTCCACACTCTGTTCTCTTCCAAAGCACCAGTTTCACCATCTTCTTCAGCATCGCCTGGTAAGCACACCCCTCTCTCTCTTTGTTTTAGTCCATCAGTATGCAGATCCGATGATTACCTTAATCCTATGCAAAAGGAAAGATGTAATTCTTCAAAAAAAAAATGAATAGCGGACGATTATAAGGTAATAAATGTTTAAACTTTTCTTACCCAATTGATATTACATACTGTCCTCGAACCCACTTGATGGCTTTTATTCTTCATATTGGGTTATCATGATTATCTTGTTCACTCATATAGTCCTTCCCAACAATTCCCGAATCATATTATCCTATTGAACTCACTCAAGTATAATCATGGGCATAGTATTAAATTGAGGGTTGCGATTGCGGTGCTTTGGTTGTTGATGTTGCTGATATTATTTATTTTATAAAAATAACTATGTTTTTTATGTATTTTGCGGTAACCTTAAAAAATGCTATGATACAATCCGTATACTGCATTACGCTTGTAATTTAATATCATAATTTAATATTATGATTATGGGTGCCCTTGTTATTAAGATATAAAACTGTGATATGCTTATGGGCAGGTTTACAGGTGGGTTAGCAGCGACTCTGCTGTTGTGGCCGACGATCACAGAGCATCTACACTTGACTCGCAATGTTCATCACAATCTGGAGACACAATGCCCAACTGCTAAGACTGGACTCCTTGGTGGTGGTGCGTTTGTGTCACTGGATTCAGCCCTTTTCTGGTTAGTTGCTCTTATGTTGGCTGATAATGCCCGTCAGGATCACTTTGATCAAGTTGAAAATGGCATTAAAGCTTAGGCTCTCGTAGCCGCTGAAAATAAATACCGTCTCAAATGGGGTGCCCTGTAATGCAGTTGATGGCTCACGGGTCCATCATCAACTGCTTCATATCTTTCACACAACTATCTTTTTATCTTTATGTCGATGGTTTACATTTCACAGTAATAATTATCTATGACTGGTATTTGTTCAGCAAATTATATGGATCCCCAAAAGCAAATATTAGATATATAATTGGATCATATATAGCCTTCTTTATAATTGTGCTTGCAACATTGAGCATTAATCAGTTATTTATTTTATTGATGGCATCTATTTTAAAATTTTATTTATTTATACGCTATACGAAAAGTTTTTGTTATTAATGTATATGTATTATCCTTGAAAATTATTTTTGAATCTGCCATTGTTAGTCATTCTATTTGTCCTGAACTACCAAATCCCATTTCAAACATGACACTTAAGATATAGGCTCATATTATGTAAAGATTTAGCCAAGAGATGGTATTGTAGCACTAAATAATTGTTCTATACTTTTATTAAAGACAAATACAACATATGTTAAATATTTTCGGCCAAATATAACACAGCAATTGTTAAAAAAATTATTTGACTTTTACTGAATTGTTAAAAAAATTTGAGTGCTAAAAAATTTATTTTACTTTTTTAAAATAATTTTTATTTAAAAAGTTAATGTAGGTTATGCGATAAGGCTTGTTAGTTAGTATTTTAATATAACACTAACTCTTACAAAAGTTAGATAGATAAGGATAACTACTAGGTAGTTTATTTCTAATAGAAAACTTACTCCTAACTTTTCCTATAAAGAAAAGATGTATTTTCACCGTTCATAATATGCATAAAAAATAAAAGAGTTCTTTTTCTTCTCCACTATGTTGTTTATTATTTATCAACATGGTATTAGTTAGGTGACATATCCTTCTTCTTAACCCTAGTCGATTACTTTTTTTACCCGAAATCTAGCCGTCGATCATGAATTCCGTCTCTTCTTCATCGGAGGTCACTTCGAAAATCCTCGTTAATTCACCCAATGCGAACCTTTCTGATGTTTCTTCAACCTCTATCACCTGTCACCGATTGAATGGTGACAATTATATCCCTTGGTCGCAATCTGTCCGCCTTTATATAACATGTCGGCGCAAACAACAATATCTTTTGGAGACCACACCAGTTCCTGTTGTGACGGATCCTGAATATTCAACCTGGCTAAGTGAGAATACCATGTTTATATCATGGCTCATCAATTCCATGATTCCTGCTGTGGGGGAAAATTTTCTGTTGTATGAAACAACACCTGAAATTTGGAGTGCTCCAAAGGCGATGTATTCGAATCTGGAAAATTCTGCTGCTTTTATTTGGGATCGAGTGTCAACCTGCCAATCTCAAATAAGATAACATGACTGACACTCAGTATTTTATTCTAATGTCGCGCTTATGGCAGCAACTTGATTTGTTTGATTCCCATGCATGGAGGTGTATAGAAGATGCCCGTATATTCAAGAAGATTGTTGAACAACGCCGGATATTCCAATTTTTTTCTGGTTTGCATCGGGATCTTGATGAAGTCTGAGGACGAGTATTAGGCTTAAACCTCTTCCTTCAATCCGGGAAGTATTCTCTGCAGTACGACGCATACCGTTATGCTTTCTGATTCGCAGCCCACTGAAGGGTCTGCATTGCTCACTCACTCTCAAACTATTACTCGGCCAAAGAAGGGGAGACTTTGGTGTGACTACTGTAAGAAGGTTGTCCATCTACGGGATTCCTATTGGAAGTTACATGGCAAGCCTACTGATGGGAAGTCTTCAAAACATCATCAACAACGTGATACTCAAGGAAATTGTGTTGTGAATACTGATTTACAACGAAGTTCATTTACTAAAAAAAATTGAAGTGTTGCAACAGTTTTTTAGTCAATTAAACACTCATTCCTAATCTGTACCTACATGTAGAATTCCTTCTGCTACTTTGACGAATACATCCACCACTCCTACTTGGATTGTGGATTCTGGTGCAAGTGATCATATGACAGATGATCTTCGGCTCTTTCTCACTTTTCATGCCGACTCGTCTATCTCTCATATTTGAACAGCTGATGGTTCTCTATCTGATGTTGTTGGTCATGGGTTTATTCGAATAAATAATGACATTTTGTTATCTCATGTTCTTTATGTTCCCAATCTCACTTGCAATCTTATCTCCATTAGCAAGTTGTCTACCGATTTATGTTGTATCACGAAATTTAACTCTGATTTTTATGAATTCCAAGATTCCAACTCGGGGAAAGTGATTGGCAGTGCTAGGCTTTGTGGGGGTCTTTACCTACTTCCAACAACTTTATTTTCCCACCCACCTATATCCTTCAATGTTATATAACAATTTCCTTTACTTGAACCTTCAACTGATGTTATGTTATTGCACGTTCGTTTAGGACATCCCGATTTCTTTTATATTGCAAAATTGTTTCCACATTTGTTTGTCAATAAAAGTTTGAAATCTTTTTCTTGTGATATTTGCCCACTTGCTAAACAAACTTAGAGTGTTTATCTACCTTCTCCATATAAACCGTCCAAACCATTTACCATGATCCATAGTGATATTTGGGGACCATATCAGGTCACATATTTACATAGGTTTCGGTGGTTTATTTCATTTATTGACGATCACACTCGTACTACATGGACCTTTCTCATGAAAATCAAATCTGAAGCTTGTGAAATATTTAAACGGTTCCTTAAGATGGTTGAAACCCAATTTCAGTGTTTTATCCATTTGTTTCATTCTAATAATGGTAGTGAGTATTTTGCTAATGTTTTGGGTTCTTTCGTTCAGGAAACCGGGATTGTTCATCTTACTTCGTGTGTCAATTATCCTCAACAAAATGGGATTGCTGAGCAAAAAAACAGGCATCTTCTTAAGGTTACTCGGTCTCTACTTTTTTCCATAAATGTTCCTAACTATTTTTTGGGGGAATCCCTTTTAACTGCCACTTATTTGATTAACCGACTCCCTAGTAAACCGTTACAATTTAAGTGTTCGAGAGATGTTTTTATTCAATTTTTCCCAATTTTAAACCGATGACTTTATTGTTACCCCTTAGAGTTTTTGGTTGTACTGTGTTCGTTCATAACAATGTTCATTTCAGGTCCAAATTATATCCTCGAGCATTTTGTTGTTTGTTTCTGGGTTATTCATTGATTCAAAAGGGCTTTCGGTGTTATTATCCACGTACAAAAGAAATTATTTATTACTATGGGCGTTACTTTCTTTGAAAAAACATATTTTTCCTTAAAACTGCTATTCAGGGGGAGTTATATAATGAATATCAGTTTGTTGACTCACAACAATTGTCACTTGATTTGTAGCCAACTCTTTTTTATCAACAAGCAACGTCAAACCAGTTAAACTAGTCGAATAAGCCTACAAAATCGCTCCAGCCATACCAAACAACACTACCGAACCTACAAAATGTATTCTTGCCAAACCAGCCCACCGAAACATATTTACCTCGGCATGATCAACATATTACGTCGCCTCAAATACCTCAATCCGAATTACAGATTTACAAGAGAAGACAAAAAACAATTTCTAAATCAATCCCTGAACTTAATCCCGAGTCTCCTACACAGCATGGTCACTATCATGACCCAGAATCGAATGAGAATCCTTTGGAGAATAAAGAAGGAAATCAGAGTTCTTCCACTGAATTAAATACTTTAATTGATGATAATGACTTGCCGATTGCTCAAAGGAAAAGAGTAAGAAAATGCAGAAATTATCCAATTGAGAGATTTGTTGTATATGGAAAGCTAACGCCTTGTTTTAAGAACTTTACAACAAGTGTAGATAGCATTACTGTTCCAGTTATGGTGGAAGAAACATTGAAAGATCCCAAGTGGAAAAAGGCAGTAGAAGAGGAATTAAAAGTACTGGAAAACAACAATACTTGGATTATAGTTGATCTTATGAAAGATAAAAAACCAGTCGGCTGCAAATGGGTATCCACGGTAAAATACAAAGCTGATGTTAGCATTGAAAGATGTAAGGCCGAGATTAGTGGCGAAAGGATTCACTCAATCTTTTAGAGTTCATTGTCATGAAACGTTTGCTCTGGTAGCAAAACTAAACACTGTGAGAGTGTTATTGTCATTAGCAGTCAATGAGAATTGGGTGCTTCATTAGTTGGACATCAAAAATGCATTTCTAAATGAAAACTTGGAGGAGGAAGTGTAATACCCCAAATATCAGGTCAGTGACTATATTGAAAAGATTTGAAATTTGAAGACTTGTTTGAATAAATGGAAAAAAGATAAGAAAATGATTTAAAATAGTGTTTTGGATTAAATTGTAGTAATAGATGAATATAGAGGGTATTTCAGTCTTTTAAGGAGAAATGAATTTAAAATTTATCCTTATTAGGGATTTTAGGAAGAAAATGGGAAAGTAGAAACAAAGAGAGTTATCACTTCTCCTCTTATTCTTCCCGTGCAAGGACCACTCTCCATAGCCTAAAGGTAAACTTCAATTTAATCAGTTTTTCCTTTCGATTATGGGTTGTTGTTACAATCTTAAGTGATATGTAAGCTAAAGAGAGGGTTAAATAAGATTAAAACAAAGTTATGGATGAAATATTAGAGATTTAAGAAAATGAGTTTTGAAATGATATGTTAAAAATATGAGTGTTTATGGATGTTTATTGTAGATTTAACTTGTCAAAGAGGTAAATGAAAGATTGGAAGCATTGGATACGATTAAGAGCATATTAGAAAAAGTAGTGTGATTCTTAGAACTAAATGTTCTTGGAAGATTTTAGATGTTTTAAGGCACTAAATGAAGGATAGTTAGTATGAAAGAAGAGTTTAATAGTATTGCATGGTGAAATTATAATGAAATTTGACCCCAATTATGTAATAATCGGGTTAAAAACTGGAAAATCTGGGCAAGGGTATCGATACTAATGGAACAATACCGATAATATAAGCTAAAATAAGATGAATTAGTTGTGTAGTATAGATACTGATTCAATCAGTATCGATACCGACAAGGTAGTATCGATACCATGGTAAGGGTATCAATACCAGGCAAGATCGAATATAAAATTTGTATCGATACCGGAAGGGGGTATCAGTACCATATTATAAAAGTATCAGTACTAGGGTAGTAGTATCGATACTAATGAGCTTGGAACGACCAA